TTAGCATAAATTTTTATTCAAAAAATCGATTTTTGTTACCAGTTTTGGTCTTGATCTTGCAACAGTTGGGCGGTGTTGGTCTTGATCTTGCAAAGTGCAAGACCAAGACCCATTTTGGGCAATACTACCCATTGCAGACCTTGACTAATCATCCCACAGGAAACTTGATGACTCTCAAGCGTCACACCCCAATAAGAAAATTTTCATTATGTAGAAATGTTATTAGAAAATTATTTTGGGAAAAACAGGAAGGAGATTATTACAATGTTCCAAAAACACGTGATCGAAAACTCCGGCCTTCTAGAACCCTTGGATATTAGTATTTTACCAGGTGAGCTATTATTCAAAATTGTACGTTAACGCGAAACCGTCTTAGAGAGGCGAAAAAGTGTCGAAAACCAAATGATAAGTGTGTTATTGAAGATATGGATTAAAATATCTCAGTAACTAAAAATCAGATCTACATACTGTAAGCGAGGGGAATTGTTCAGCAGTTTATCCTCTTTATAATGAGCTATTATTTATAATTTATATTTCATATTATTAATCTCACCTTGTTGATGTTTTCACTTCTATTGTATGGTCTAAAGACACACCTTAGTTTTTTAATTTTTTTTTTTCAGAAGTGGTAGGGAAAGTACCGCCTATTTGATATAGAACTGTTTGAAAATAATAATAATAATAACCATTGTTAAATAATTTTCAACGTTTTTAAATTCGCTGTTTGCCCAGCGATGCGACTCCGTCAACTTTTCCGGAAAAATTATGAAAAATCTCCATAATCCTCGAACATTAAGGAGGAAACCTTCGAAGATTGCTAGCGATAGAATGGAGGGGGAGTAGACGTGACGCCTTCATCAGGAGCGATAAATCGGCTAAGTTATGCACTAAAAGTAATTTTGAAGTAAGAGATAGAGAAATGGCGGAGGATCGTTGGGAGAGCCCTGTGCCACTTCTTAATTGCCCTAAGGGACTGCTCTTTCCCTACGACACTTTTTAACGAGTTCCCCAACTCCACTCTTCCCTTAAACGTTCAGAAGTAATAATGATGAAATAACAACATCTGTAAACCAGAGCTACCACAATTTCCGACCTTTATTCCCTCTTGTTATATTCCCCTCGAGCTACCTTTAATTAAACCCCTGGGCAAAACGTTTACCTATTTCAATATTTAAGAAACTTGAACAAAAACTTCGAACAAAAAAAAAAAAAAAAAAAAATCAAAATAGTTGAAAATAATTGAATGAATCTTGGAAAACAATGCCGCTCAGTAGAATAACGAGAGATATGAAAACATTTTCTGACGGTTTTGGTTTATTATTTCGGTACTTAAGGAGAACACAGCCACAATATGGCGGCTGAGGACAAGCTCACATAGTCATAATGTACATGGAATTCTGATAATTTCCGAACGTAACCAAGTCTGCCCAAAAGCATAGACAGACCTATAGGAGAGAGAGATAGAGAGGGGATTCAGGCAAAGCAGCAAGGTTTGGTCTGAATCTGCAAGCAGGAGAGCCATCTGGCTTCATAGTTGATTTTAAAAAGGAATTCTCACAAGGGGATTTTGCGCCATTAAAATTTTTTAAGGTAGCACATTTTGAAGGGATTTTGAATTTTTGATGGAGTCACATTTCCATGGAGTTATGAATTTTCGAATTGAAAAAGTTTCAAACCAGTGGACTGAGGGAAAACATAGAATTGACCTCAACAAGTGTAATTGTATATGATTTACAGTACTTTTATTTCTAATATTTTCAAGAAGAGGAGAGCAATAAAATATCTTGGGGAGGAAGGTCGAGGCTCATTCGCCATCGACCTTGAGGGGGAAGGAGGTATGGGCACCTCTGGATCTAACAGAATAAATAATTACATAACAAACACGTAGTCAGGAGACTATGAGCACGGTGCCTTACACATTAAAAGAATTTTAATTTATTACTTTCATATATTAAAAAATAAATAAATACAAAGTAATTTAACTCTTGGAAGACATTGGATTGCCAGTTATAATTAATATATTTTTTTATACTGTTAGCATATTTATATAATAGAAAATAATTTTATTTTAATAAAAATAAATCATATTAATTTATTTTACGTAATATTTGATTTTACAGGGAGTAGAACTCAGATAAACCTCAATACAGCCTACATAGACGCCAACTTCATATACGGATCAGATAAAAAGCTAGCAGAATCGCTGAGGCTTCTACAGAAAGGCCAGTTGAAAACTGTCGACGCATTTGCAGATTTAGGATTGAAACCTATATTACCTCCGAAAACTAAGCAACCAGATGATGGGTGCCTTCGTCCGCATCCAGACATTTACTGCTTCTTGGCAGGTAAACTTGTGATTTCTAATTTTAATATACAATACAATGAAAATCAGGTAAGACGAAAAAAAAAAAAATTACTAGAACTTAATTCCACTATCAAAGCTTTTCGGTTTATCATGTCTTAATTAATGTTATATTGAGAAAACTATGTTTTTTCCTAATAAAATTTTCTTCTAATTTACCAGGTGATAATCGGGTTAATGAACAACTCGCTTTGGGAGTTCTGCATACCCTTGCTGTTAGAGAGCATAATAGAATTGCGACAGAACTTTCTTACATAAATCCACATTGGGATGATGAGAAATTATATCAGGTAAAATAATATTTATGTTAATTAATAGAATATAAAGATAACTTTATTCTGGGATGAGGTCCCTTACGAATAATATAATTGTACAAAAGAAAAGATTAGTTCTGGCCAAAAGGCTTGCTACATTAAATAAAATAATAAGAACAAATATTTTCTGTTTGTTATTTAATAATTTTATAAGTAACTATAGTTTGATTGCCATTAGATAGCAGCTCAAGGACAAACTAATGTGGCACCAAGCTGAAATTTACATTTTGTTTTTCCCTAATTCTCCAATATTACTTACAAAATATTTACAAATATTGAAAGATGATATTGCATTGTAATGTGGTCATTATGGAAAAAAACTCTTCCACAGTATGATAACATAATCTAGAATTGTTGTACTGCCAACAGCTTGACTTATTCCTGTGCAGTCAGGATGAAACAATATAGATATATAGATAACATAATACCTAGACTGCGGTGGGCAGTACCAACAAAATAGTACCAGATGTTGAATAAAGAGAATTGTGACTTAATAGAACATCACAGAAGAGATATTTTTATTTTAAAGTAAAAACTTGTTAGATAGATGGCAATACTTACCGAGAAGTGAATACAGCAACTCTTTATTCTGCATGTCACTTCCAATTCAAAGGTCTTCCTTCTGAAAAAAATCATAAAATTAAAAAATTGATTTCTATATGGTGTTTAGTACCAAATTCTGTTTCAAGTCAAAAATATTTAGTTTCCAAAATAATGAGTTAAAAAAAATTATTATAATATCTTTTTAAAATGGATAATTAATAACTTAAAACAAATATTCTTTAGTTGTGATTATATTTATTTTCATTTTAATTACAAAAGTATGTTGAATTAAACTGGTTTAATTAAAAATACATTATATTAATGTTAAAATAGAAAAAGAAGGCAATTAAAAATACTTATTACTATTTACTCAAACAAATCATATTGTGATTCTATATATAATTTGCTGAAAATCGAAATAATGTCTAAATAGATCAAAATGGATTACAATAATTAAAAAAAAGAGTATATATTTAAATGTAAAACTGAAAAAAAACATACTATTAATTGGTCTAATAGGCAATATGCTTCACAAACCAATTTATAAAAACTCAAAGTACTGTATCGGTTTTTAATTGGCTACTCTGTGATAGTGAGAAATTTTGACATTAAGCTTCAAATATTTCTGTATTAATATAAATTTGATAAGATGTTATGTATACAAAATTTTTTTTAAACTGCATATTAGAAATATTTTATAAAAATTGTTACTTTGAACTTGTGTTTCAATGTTTAATTCCATTCCTATAACCTAATTAAATCTGATTAAAATGTCAATCTCTAATTTTGCATGCAGTATTTTTTAACAGAACATAAACAGTTTTATTTTGAAAAAAAAAAACAATGAAAAATAGTACAAACAAGTATAGCATTGATTAATTAGCATGGTATTAATTATCTTTTGAAGTTGGTTTTATGATTAAGAAAATATATGAAACACACTTTTTTGCAATATTTTCTATCATCTGTATACAAAGTGAGAATATAAGCATAAAGTGTTCAATATGTCTTTGATTTACTGATCAAACATTGTTATGCCTAAAAAAAGTTTAAAGATTGAATGTTCATAAACGTTAAGTGAGAAGCTTTTTCAGCATTGGTTTGTAAAAAAAAGTATTGTTTAATTCCTGGTATTAATAATTTATAAAAGCTTAATCAAAAATTTTGAAAAGTATTGATATCAATCGCTTCATAAGATCACATAAAATGTATATTTTAACATTATAATTATAGTTTTTATTTATTACTAAATGGAAGAACTATTGTAGAAATTATTTTTATTTAGTTATTTTCTATGAGAGAATAGATTGTATTTTTCTTTTAATATCTACATATAGTACAGTTTTAATTTGATGAGATGTGATTATTGTAGGAAACAAGACATATTATGGCAGCAATTGTGCAACATATCACATACAGTGAGTTTCTTCCACAGCTTCTGGGAGAAAATTTCTTGAAGCAGTATGATTTGAAGTTAAATCCAGAGGTATAAATTATCATTATATATATTGATTAATTATAAATGAATACTAATATTATTTTAAGATATTCCTTACTTAATTTAGGGACAATAAATTGTTTTTTCCGAGCATTTCTTTTCTATTTTGATTTTTTGTTGCCTCTGAAAGTTCTCTTCTTTCTTCATGTTTATATTTTAAGAAGTTTTGCTTTGATCACTTCTAGTTTGATTATAAAATCATTTGATGTAGTGTACGATAATTGATAAATTATATGTAAATATTTTTTCTATTTTTTATAGGGATATAATTTTAGCTATGACCCAGAGGTTGATCCCACTATACCAGCTTCATTTGGTACAGCAGCTTTTCGTTTTGGGCATTCTCTTTTACCGAACACTATGCAGAGAAGAAGTTCAAATCACAAGTTAACTGGTATATAATTAAATGAATAATATAATAAATACTATTTGAATTTTTATACATTGTATGTGTTAATAAAAATTGTATTTATTTATATTTAATTCAAGCAAGCATTTTGTGTTGGGGGGATTCCATCTGAATAATGTGAAAACGTGAAGTATTTGAAACATGTTTAATATCTGAACACTACTAATACCACAATGAAGATAGTTTGTGCAAATTTCTTACATGTTATTTAGAACAAAAGATTCTTTACAGATGAATAAATAGAAATTGCCCAATATCTCTTTTACAAATTTGATTTTAGTTTTTTATCTTATTCACATGAATTATCAAATATTTTGGAATTATTTAATAAAATGTCTTCTTGACCTCATATAAACATTTCATTTCATTCAATGATTTTTTTTGTTATTCCTTGTTCATCATAAAAGCTTCAAATCCAAAAGGAAATAAATTCCTGGTATGATATCTCAATATGTTTTAGTTATCAAGTCAGCTTTTTATAATTTTACAGCCATAGGCTTTGAAAGTATGTAAGCATGATTGCTAAAGAACTTAATTTTTAAGCATTATAAACATAATAAGATCAAAATCCAAGCGGCTAGTCATTAATCTTTCAGCTATTTTCTTTAAAATGAAGTTTGACTTTAATTACTATAATAATAATAATAATAATAAGGCTTAGCGAACCCGAAGGTTCGATGCCGACACCACCAATCTCTTGTTACACACCTCCCTCCACCGTTCGCCGTCCAAACCCAGTCCCTTCAGATCGGCTTTAATGCAATCTTCCCACCTTCACTTCGGTCTACCCCTCGGACGCTTACCATTCGGCACCGCACATATTAACCTTTTAGGAATTCTCTCGTTACTAAGCCCAACAACTTTACAAGCCCATTTGATTCGCCGCGATGAAATTACCTCAATTATATTACCCGGATACAGCTCACGCAATTCGGCGTTGTGTAACCGTCTGAACTCTCCGGTTAACTCATCCTTCTTCGGTCCGAATATTCTACGCAATACTTTATTTTCAAAAACCTTAAGACGCTGCTCATCCCTTAATGTAAGCGGCCAAGTTTCGCATCCATAAAGAACTGAAGGCAAGATAATTGTTTTATAGATTCTAATTTTTAAGTTTCGGGACAAGAGGCGCGAACTAAGTAGTTTTGTCACAGAAAAATAACAAGCATTTCCCGCCTTCAGTCTAACCTTAATCTCTTCTTCAATTTCGTTTTTTCTAGTTATCGTAGAACCTAGATACCTAAATTTATCTACCTGTTCAAACATATTACCATCTATATCGATATCACCAGTAGTATCGCCATTTTTGCAGCTAACCATATATTTTGTTTTATCCACGTTTATTTCGAGTCCTAGTTCTTTACCGGCTTTCATTAACGTTGTCGTATTTAGTTTTATAGTTTCAACTTCTTCGCTTAACAGTACCAGATCATCAGCATAGCCCAGCACGGATGTTGTCCCGCCCAGATCCAACCCTTTCTCGGTTCGCATTACCTCCCTAATGGCATGTTCTAATGCCAAATTGAACAGGACAGGCGAAAGAGAATCCCCCTGTTTTAAGCCCGAACAAACCTCAAATTTTTCGGACAAATTATTACCGATTCTAACTTTATTGAGTGTCTCCGTCAAGCACATCCTGACTAGATTTACTAGTTTTTTTGGAATCCCCTGCTCAATTAGAATATTATACAGTTTCTGGCGGTCAATAGAATCGTAAGCCTTTTTAAAATCTATATACAGCTGGTGAACAATACCGTTATACTCCAATTTTTTCTCTAATATTTGCCGTAAAGAAAATATTTGATCAATTGCCGAACGATTCCGTCTAAATCCGCATTGGTAGTCTCCGATAATTTCCTCGGCGTTTTCCGTGATTCGACTGGTTAAGATTAAAGTGAATATTTTATAACATACCGGAAGGAGTGAAATTCCTCGATAGTTATTACAATCCGTCCTCGGACCCTTTTTGTGAATCGGAATAAGAATAGATTCTTTCCATTCTTCAGGTAATTTCTCGTTCACCCAGATCTTTTTAACCAACCGATGTATTTTAGAAACTCCAGCTTCCCCGCATGCCTTAATTAGTTCAGTAGGGATATTATCGATTCCCGCTGCTTTATATGATTTTAATTTTCCGATAGCTACTTCAACTTCCTCTTTACTTGGTCCTTCTATTAACGGTCGGACAATGTATGTTTATTAATGCGATTTTAAACCAACGTCCCTGAAATGTAGCTACCGAAATTCTATCACTAAAGAATTGTACGTCCCTCAAAGCGGATAGTAATCTACTCCTAATTAGAAACCCGGTACCCAAACAATGATTCCCGCTTCCTCCGTACCAAATAGTGTACTTTCCTTCCCTCATCGAGCCCTCCTCTGGCCAACGAACCTCTTGCAGAGCCACGACATCCAAATTGTACCCATTTACCTCATTCGTGACCGATTTTAGCCCCCCTGCTGTGTTTAAACTCCTTACGTTCCACGTACCAATATTTAAATCCCTATATTTCAACTTGCACCATGAATCCCCTAAAGCAGTCCCCACCCGGAGACCCGAACGGGGGACTAGTTTACCTCCGGATAATGAGCGTTTTACCTTAGGGAGATCCATGACTTTTTGTGGTGTTTGGTGAACTAAAGATATGTGAGTAGGGCGTTCAATCCTACGTCACACCCTCCAGCAAGTCTGGTGGGCCCCTACCTCCAGCAAGTCTGGAGGTCCCCTCCCTCCAGCAAGTCTGGAGGGCCCCTCTCATTGTTGGTCAGCGAGTCCATCGGACTTAGCCGGGAGGAACTTCCAAGGAATTTCCACCGACCATCCCCACATCCGCCACCCGTGGGACGCTCCCCATACGCGGTAATGAGCCCGCGCGAGGCTTTAATTACTATACTATATGTATATAAAACCCTGTTACCTTTACAACCCCAGAAGGGTCTTGGGTTCAGTACTTTGTAAGGGAGTACTGTTTCTTCGTCTATGGTTGAGCAAGGAGGTGATTTGACCAACCTCCCACTCAACTGCCAGGTTTTTCTTTTTAACCAATTATATAATTAAGAGTAACCATTTTACAGAAGCTGGGTGTGCCCCACGAGGCAGATATTGGCAAATGATACTTTGAGTACTGAGTTCCAAGTATTTTACTCAAGTACTGATCCTTTTTGAGTACGATTAACTGAAGTAGTGATTGAATTCCCAATAGTGATTTAATTCAAGTAAAATACTTGGTACTCGGTATTCAAAGTAGCATTTCTCATCTCTGCCAAGAGGGTCTCTTGACCACAGTGTCAATCCACTGAATAAATAATTACCTGGCACAGCATGACACGAACCTGAACGAATTGCAGAACAATGCCATACTCACAGAGTTACCTCTCATATTCTCCATAATTATTAATAAAAAATAATTAATTAATACATGTTTAATTTTGTTCACATATTTTATTTATGGATTTAATTTTTCATTCAATAAAACTTTTCTGTACAAAAATCAATCACTACTATTATTACTGTCCATATTGCAATAACTTTTAATATTTTTTCAATATAAAATATTGTATTCTAATCTTTTTGAAAATAATTATATATGCTTTCCCCTTCTTAATTATAATTTTATCATTAACTTTTCTTATTTGCACTGAACTTCTCATCTGAAACCTCTGTGGCTTAAAAAGTAGTAGGAATCCTTAAAATAAGTTTAATATCGATCTTGCCAATTTTCAAGCCACAGATCCAGCAAATAAATCAATTATGGCAAAAAAGGCAGTTAGAGTTGACAATTTTTTCATAAATGAAATAAATAATATCTAACATTTAAACAGAATCAACAGCATTACTTCAGAAAGTTATTTGTTCAATCTATACTAATAAGGTGTTGGCCCAAGACTTCTATTGAAATCATATACTACAAATATTACTATTCTGAGTGTTTGAGAATGTTATATTACATTTTTTATTCTGTAAAATCTGGTAATGAATTCATTCTAATTTTTAGGTGAGAGGAAATTAAGTGAAATGCTGCAACAGCCATTTGACCTATACAAACCAGGATGGGTAGACGCTTACGTATTGGGCTTGGTAAACCAAATATCACAACCAATGGACCATTCAGTAACTGCTGAGGTAATGAAATTTAATACTGTAAATAGTTATGTTGTTTTTTCTTACTGTTTAACTATACCTAAGTTGTGGAAAAAAAATTGGAGCTTGGGCATTTTGGTTATTTAAAACATTTTTAAAGTTCTTTCAGTGAGCAAATACATTAAATACATTTTTCAGAAAAAATATAGTTTCTTATCTTATAAGTTATTGATTTATAATCAAGGAAATTACTGTTCATTGTTGGGTGACTAAGTGATCTGTGAGGGTTTTTCATAATATAAAAGTATGATTAAAATATATTCATTATACATGCTCATGATTGTTTTAAGAATAAATAAATACTAGTTGACCCATGCGAATAATTCAAAAATAATATTGGTAGTGAACAACATATAATATAATAATAAGTTATTGATATTTATTATGAGAAAGAAGAAATAATTTTCTTATTCTCAGTTGAATCAGATTAGTTCATTCAAAATATTAATCCTAAAAATCTGTACATTATTATAGGCTGTATCTTTGTTAATAATGATCCAATTTCGATGATTTTTTTTTATTTTATAGGAAATTTACTAAATTTTCGAACGATCGTGGGTCTGATCAAGTGTATTATTTTTAAATACATAAAGTCTCTTTTCATTCATAACTTTTTTCCTGAAATTTTGGGTGGATGTTACTTTGATTTGTCACTGCTCCATTTAATACGCTTTCGTTTGATACCTCATTCCTCCAAATCCATCGCTCCTGAGAGCCGAAAAAGGAATCATTAAAGCAAAAAACTATCGTATTACATTATAAAGCTAGATTTTCAAGTGAACAATAAAAATCTGTATTCATTTCTTTAAGGTATTGTAAAATTCACTCAAAGAGATGATTTCTATTGAAAATATGGCTGCCAGCCCATAAACATTTGTAATCATTTATAGATTAACATTTGAAGAACATTGCAATAGACAGTCATATTACCAAATATAAAGCTTTGCTTACATGGTTTCAATTTCTGTAGTGACAGTATTGTCTTGACAGTGAGACAGCAAATAGCTGTTGTCTACACATTGCTATCAACCTGGTGACAGCTTGATAAATAATAGATATAGAATGACTGATGTGATGATTATTATAACAAAAACAACTCATTTATAAAACAAAAATGAATAAATAAATTAATAAAAATGTTATAAGTTTTTGTAAAAAAAGTTATAAGATCTTATTATTTTAAACATAATAGTTTTTTTTTAGCAATAAGATAGAATAAACGAAAACAATTTAATTGGATTTGCCTATCATATTTGATGTGGTAGATCTATGTGAGACAATTTAAAAATAATGATTTAATAAATATTGAGAAAAAAATAATTAATAATAGTATTGCAACGTTCACAATAATACAAAAAGAAAATTATTTAACAATAAGTTAGCAGATTTTGAAAATCCAAAAGGGCAAACATCAAACTAATAAAGAATGGTAAAAAAAAATATGAATTTCTTCCTACAAAAATTTACAATAAAAATGACAAGTGGGCCTTCAAATAGAATAAAATTTAGAAATTAATACAAATAAATTTAAATATTACATTAGATAGTTTTATAATAAATTCTAGTAAAACTAAACTGTATAGTTTTTGTTTCTCTACTGGTTTTACAATTTGGTATTGTGTAGCAAACTGAATTCTCCCTTTGAATCCTTCATTGGAACAAATTTTTCATGCAATACTTTATTTTAAAAATCTAAAGTTTTTTTTTTTTATCTTGATATAAGAGGTTTAAAAGTTTCAGAGAAAGTTTTTAATTGATAGAACATAGTTTGTAGTGCATAGTTAAAGTTTAAACTAAAATAACACTAAAACTCTTTAAAATTAACTAATATGCTCTTAGGTCTTTCTTTAAGGTCTGGTAGGTATTAAAAGAAAAAATAAATTAAATAATATATAGCACTAATAGATGCTACATATTACCAAATTTTCAAGAAAAATATTTTAAACAATTTACTATGATTTTCAGGTAACTAATCATTTATTTCAAGAACCTGCTCGAGATTTTGGGAGAGATTTGGCTGCAATAAATTTGGCCAGAGCGAGGGAACATGGTATACCAGGCTATATGGCGTATAGGAAGCATTGTGGGCTAGACGATATGGACACGTGGCAAGATATGTGGAGTTTTCTTCCTAATGGAACTGTTTCTGAATATCTCAAAATTTATGAGTAAGTGTTAAATGTGTTTTAAAATATTATATCTCTGTCCATAAAATATTGACCATTTAATTAGAAAACATCTATAAAATCACAATTTATTTATTTTAAAGTGTTTCAACTACAAGATCTATCTACATTTAAATTTAGAAATTTTTAGAAGGTATATAGACATACCGTAGTTTTGACTATATGCTGGGTGAATTGCAGTTAGATCTAAGCGTGAACTATTTCTCTACTTCTGTTTGAGTCTATGGTACAGGCCCTTTATCATCAAATTACTGGTCTAATTATTAAATTATTAATTACTGGTCTAAAACTTCGCGAGAGTTTCATTTTAATAATGTACAGCTTTTTTATGTATAAAAATTCTCAATAATGGGGTGTTTTCTGATTAAATTAATTTAATGAGGTACGAAAAACTCGTAATAGTGATTTTCTTTTCACTTCAAGTTATGTATACTTTTTCCAATACAAACAGAGATATATATATATATTTTTAATTTTATATATTTTAAATTTTATTTTATTTTTTTTTATGTTGATCTTGTAATTTTCCAAATTTATTTCCAAGTCTTAGTTTTATATTTTATCAGAAGCCAACTAAATATATGAATAATATTTCATAATTCCAATTTGGTTTTGAATTTAATCTTATAAATTGAAAAAAATGTCATGAATTTTACTGTTCACATCCTTGAATTATGCTTAATTTTTTTCATGTTATATTGCTAGGCATTCTATACCTTTTACAGTTTTTTTTTTTTTTTTTTTTTATTGGAATTTTCATTAATAGTGGGTTTCCTTGACCTGAAGTGTTTGGATGGCTTCTTTCCATAATGTTCTATCTAAGGTCCATTCTTCCCATAGATCATGGCCCATCATGGATTCCTCCACTTCGTTATCCCAGGTCTTCCTTGTCTTCTTCTTTCCCTAGTTTTCCGTAAGTGGACTTCTTTGGGTAGTCTTCCTTCAGGCATTCTTTTTATATGTCCATACCACTTTTTTTTCAATATCTTCCAGAATGGTTCTTTAAGCCTCCATCTTTTCTCTGATGGTCGTATTTCTCACTTTATCCATTCTAGATATTCCTGCCGCTTGTCTCCAATAGTCCATTTCTGTGGCTAGAAGTTTCTTCCTGAGTTTGCTTTTTAAGGTCCAAGTTTCTGACCCATATGTCATAATGCTGAGTACAATACTATTGTAGATATTTTTTTTTGTTTTGGTGATAATGTTCTGGTTCCATAATACCGAGTTGAGTATTGATATGGTCTTTTTGCCATCTGAAATTTTTCTTTTTATTTCCACATCACATGCACCACCTACTTCAATTATGGAACCAAGGTATTTAAAATGTTTAATTATTTTTAGAACCCCTCCTAGATTCAGTTCTATATCCTCATTATTGAATGTCATGTGCTCCGTTTTCTCTGCATTAATAACTAATCCCCAATGCTGGTATTCCTCATTTAATTTTCTTAACATATATCCGGCATGTTCTGAGTTCAGTGCAATGATGACTTGGTCATCTGCAAAGAATAGGTTATATAGGAACATGTTTTCTTTCAACTGAATCCCCATGGGTTCACATTTTATTCTCCATGCTTTCAAACAGATGTCAAGATAAATCTTGAACAGAGAAAGAGAGGCACAACATTCCTGGAGCAATCCTTTGCTTGTTGGGAAAGGCTCAGAAAGGTATGGTCCAATTTTGACCTGGCAAGTGTTTCCTTTGTACATTTCGTTTATTATATCTATCAGACCTATATTAATGTTTGTATTTTGGAGAGCTTGCCATAATAGTCTTCGAGGAACACTGTCATACGCTTTCTCCAGGTCTATAAATATTAGTTCAATGTCTCTGGAAACAGCTTGATGTTTCTCCAACAATTGCCTCAGTGTGAAAATATGGTCAATGCATGATCTTCCCTCTGTAAATCCACATTGGTCTTCTGAAACATTAAACCTATGCTCTAATTCGTTTCTTATAAGTTTTCCTAATTTTTTGGCAAAAGGATTAGTAACACAGATTCCTCTATAGTTTTTGCATTTTTTTCTGTCTTCTTTTTTTATAGATTGGCTGATGTAACCGAGATTCATTTGTTTTGGTATTGAGTCGCCACCCAATATTCTATAATACATATTTATTAATAGTGTTGCCACTTTTTTCCCTCCATATTTTAAAAGCCTTATATATTTTAAAAACCTTTTATCTAATAATTCAATTAACAATGAATGAATCGCTATGCTCCTATAATGTAAATTGTGTACAGGAACAAAGAACAAAATTTACTAATACAAGAATATTATTACCAGTAAAGTATAAATTAATAGAAATAAAATTGAGATATCTGGTTGCTCCTACTGGTAACATTGATTGGAAAAATTACAATAAAATATATTCTATTGTAAAAAGTACTTTTCTTTATGCCCTTGGGCAGTGGAAGAAATTTGTGACATGTATATATTGTATTGTTATGTATACTATATATGTAAATTGTGTATGTAAATTTGTTTCAATAAACATTTTGGAGGGTAACGAAAAAAAAAAAAAAAAAAAAATGTACTTTTCTTCAAAAACTCTATGAGTTTTGATAGAATGTCTAATTAAATAAATTTATCATGAATTTATATTTATTTATAGTGACCCAGATGATGTAGACCTGTGGTCAGCTGGTGTCTCAGAGCTCCCAGCGCCGGGAAGTATGCTTGGTCCAGTTTTTTCATGCATAATAGCAACAACATTTAGAGATCTTAAAAAAGGTGATCGTTTCTGGTACGAGAATCCTGGATTCGTCAGCTCATTTACATTGCGTAAGCTTAAATTCCATTATATATAAAATTATATTAAATAGAATTTTTGGAAAGTTACAACCAATTCCTATATAATTCATAATTTAAGCAAAAGTAATTTCTCTGAATCCATTTAAAGTGGTGATGAGAGTTTCTAAAGATAGTGATGAATTATCCATTTTTAAATTTAAAAAAAATGCAGTGTACTTTCTGTACTTATTAAATTACTTTCTTCATTTTCTGATTTATACATTTTTTTTCCCCCGATCTTGGAATTTTTCAGTTGCATACCATTTTACAGTTATCTAGTATTTGTTAAATAAAATTACTTTACTACAGTTTCTTAGGTAGGGGAAGTAACAGGTTCAAATTTTTGATATGCAGTCTTTAAAGGATTTATACTTTTCAGAGACTTCTGAGTACAAAAAAAAAAAAAAAAAAAAGAAATGTCCTCACATTGGTCTGTGTTTCTGTCCACTTGTGCTGTGACTATCCCTTGAATAAGGGGTACTGATTTTGATGACTTTTTCTTTTTTATGGTTGAGTTTTGGTTCCCAATGCTTGGAGTGACTCTAAATTGGGTGTGTGAGCAAAAGAAACTGAGCAATTGTTAAAAAAAGCAGTAGACTGTGGTGCCAAAATGGCTTTAATGATTTTGATGATACTTGTATAAATAAATCTCTTCAACTTTTTGTATAAAGTATAATCCTGAGAAGAAGCTGGCAAACTGTATGAATAGTAGATAATATTTGCATTAAATTGAAAAGGTACACATTTTATCAAGAATTATATACAATATCATTGAAAAGGTAAATACATTTTTAAAAAAATCTCGAGCTTTATGCATCCCACAACTTTCATTCAAATAGGGCTGTATACTCAATAATAGGTATACTCAAATAGGGCTGATTAATATTTAATAATTTAAATCTATTATTGTGGCTGAAGTTATTAAACTGAATTTGTTTAAGGATACTAAGTTCAGTGGTTAAAGGTTTTATAAAAAAAAAAATTATTTTTTTCTATGCCTAAGTAACGCCTGGTTGATCAGCCACCCATATTCTTCCAGTCCAATGTAATTTTGCTCTCCAAGCATAAGGGCTGTCCATTTCACTGAAGGAACATATTATGTCTTGTAATGCAGGGCATGTATCAAGATGTTCTCCTGTCATCATATCCAAGGAACAAAGAGGGCATGTCGAGCTATCTTTTATACCGATGCGGTGGAGGTGCTTTTGCAGGAAATCATGGCCTGTGAGCATTCTAAAGCATACCACAGCTTGCCCTCTAGGAAGAACTCTTGGGATCCTGCCACTTTCTTCCACCAATTCACTCCATCGCTTCCCTTAAATTTTTTGCTCATATTTCTCCTTCAGTGAACTTTGGAGGGTCTGTTTTATTATCCTTTTAGTCGAATCCATGCCCAAAGGAATATATGTTTTATCAACCTGTTAACACTGCTAAAAATATTTTGAGCGGCAAGCACTTCTCTCACAAAAGTTTCTAAACAACTTGAGGAAGATAATTAAAGCATTATATATTTTTGTTTTTTCAAGTTTATCAATAATTTTAAAGGGTTCCATTTAGTTTTGAAATTTCATTCAGTTTCCATGGAAACATTTGTTTTCCATTAAATAATATTAAATTTCTAAAATTATTATTCATAATTTATTTTGTCAACCTCTATTATCCATCCTTCTATATTCTATGTGTTGGTTATGTTATGTGTTATATTCAAATATCTCTTACTTTCCAATGACGTGTGATACATATATACAAGTATTTTTTTTATTAATATACATAACTATCCTAATTTCAAGAAATGTTTTCTCAACATGGAAAAATGTTTCCCTCTTTTTTAATTATCAAATTATTTCATAGTTTATATTTAGGATATTAGAGTGCTACCAATGGATAGTTTCTCTAGAAGTGTTTTCATGTCATTTTATTTCCAGGTATCTCATTTACTATATGTATATTTGCTTTTATACAGTTGCAAATTTTATAAATAAAATAAATAATATATATATATATATATATATATATATATATATATATATATATATATAGGTATTTTTTATAACTACCAACAATGATACACTGTTAATTATTTCAAATAAACTAGATTAAAGGTTTCAAATGAACCTTACTAAAGGTTTCAAATAAACCATATTACAGGTACTTTAGAGGAAGCCATTTTGGAAATTTGGCTTTGAAACCCCTTCAGACTATATTAATTAGAATAAAATCTAGCTAATATTAAAAATCACTTAATAGTAATTGGCATATTGAGCTTAATCAAAATTGTTGGAACTAAAAAAATTGTATAAATCTCTTACATAAAGTTCCAATTCAAGTTAGCTGATTTTAGGGAAAAAGTTGCTGTAACATCCCAGGAATATATCTCCTTTACTTTATTTCCATCTCCTTTACTCCAATACATTATTTCAGTTTCATACGACTCTGTTTTTGAGCTAGGCTGTTCACACAGAAACTCACTTCAGCCACAAAATCAGATCATTTTGAAAGACTTGATTATTTGGACACAGAGGAACTCAAAACATGTATTTTCATTGAAAATTGGGATTTAAAGTTTATTAAGATCACAAGACTTTATCTTAATATCTAAGTTGTTCCAATATTTGCAAGTATACATAATTTTTTAACATAGAATTGATGGTTTTAAAATGTATTTGTTTTGTTCTTTGCAGTTTGAAATCGGTTTGCTATAATTTATTTTCTCAAATAATTAATACTTGAATTCTGAACATTCCTTATGCTCATTTAAAAAAAAAAATCAATTGTCTACAAAGTTGTACAGAACCGTGGTGTCACCCTGATAATAATAAATAGTTGTATGAATTTTATAAGTATTTAAAAATTTATTTAAATTAATCATGTAGAAATAAGTTATGAATTTAATCATACTACCATTAAAATAAGAAAAAATAAATGTTTACAGGCCAGTTAAGAGAAATAAAAAAATATTCCTTGGCAAGGCTTCTGTGTAATTCTGGAGATAATATTGAAACTATACAGATGAAAGTGATGTTGCTACCTGATTACGATGAGTAAGTCGACCTAATTTATTATTATTTAAAATTGATTTAATCAATTTTTAATTAAGTAAAGATTCTTTGAAATCTGTTCTGATGGTAACATAGCAAGGAGAACCCTGTGTATAAAACATATAAAAGAAAACAATATCTAATCTATTGGTCCTTGCAAATTATTTAATTTTTTTCTGATTGTTTACAGGCATTTTTTTTTATATGCTGTTCTTCAATGCTGCTTTGATTAGCATGACCATTAGTGATGACTGATATTATGACAAATGAATTTTGTTAGTGTGAGATATTTGTCAATACCACAATTTTCTTTGTATGGGACTATGTTTTCAATTTTAAGGAGGGTCATTTAATTGTTTTGATATTTTTGACATTGAAATAGGTATTGCATTATAAGAAGAAGGGCATTGTTGCAAGTTTGGTAGGGTGTTCAGTGTAATCATAAAATCAGGTGAGAACGGTGCAGCTTGCTTAAATTCTTGACCTGCTTGTCATGAAGCATTCCTTTGATGTTAAACTTGTTGAAGACAGCCAAGCACGATTAGTCTCTTTGATCAGACAGAGGTGATTCAATTATAGTCTTTCTCCCACTCTTTGTACAAATTTTTTTCTCCTTACTTGTAATCTCTTGAGTCCATTTATTTAGAAACGCTTGTCTTAAATAAGAAGAATGCAAGTTTTGGAATGCTTTTCTCACAGCTTAATTAGCTTGTACAATGTATTTTACCCCAATTTGTGAAGGTACCTTTAATAGTGTTACTTTCTCACCATTTTGTTCTTGTTTCAAGTTTAAGACCTGAAAATTTTGATGCAATTTGTTATTGGTCCAAACATTTTGAAATCCCACAATATCTGATAAGAAATCTGCCATCAACAACTGATTTTACAATACTGTTATTAATTACATAATCAAAAGCCTTCAGAAGTGCACACATTTTACTAATGAAAATGTAATTTATGCTATATTTATATTTTTATGGTTCACTATAAAACATCCTTTACCTTTTCGTGGTATAGGATGTTGTATCCATCAGAGAAAATTATTTCAAGAATAGGAAATAAATTAACAATTATTTCATTGTTTCTAAATCTTATTGCTTCTTTTGGGGTTGCTTGTAATTTTTTTGTAGTCCTGTTTCAGTTTTGATAATTGGCATTGTCCATGATAGTGAATCTCCTATTGTCTGAGATATTTTTGTAGGCATGATATGATTTCATTGAATAATATGATTCCTGAATATCCCTGAAACATTAGCCTTAATGTTGTTATTGTTAACAAACTTGTATGCAGAATACCAAAGTTATTGTAGCTAAGAATATTAAGAATTTTCCGCAAAGCAAAGTACAAGTAGTTTCTTCTATGATTCAAGAATAATTCTATTTTGTTTAGTAAAGCAGATGCTACGCTTGTTCTAAACGTTTCAATTTAAAGTCTTAATGAGATTTTTGGATTTGAATCCAACTTATTTTAGAGGCTTTCACAAACTGAGAAATATATAATGCAGTCATATTCTAGTTTTTATCTTACTAAAGTCCCATATTATTTTTTCAGCATTATTTTTCTGTCTTCTCATGATTTTTCCATTTTAGCTTACAATTCAGTAAAAGGCATACAATTTTGAATTCTTGGCAGACTTTGATTTCACAACTGTTTATTAAAATATTTATTCCATTACTTTGTAACATTAGAATATTATATATCATTTAATGGTAAGGTTGTTACAGACAGTCTCTGTTCAAATTATTTTATTTACACCATAAAATTAGAGAAAATTTTGTTTAACATGCATTATATTGATCTCAGTAATTACAAGACAAGATTAAATTATAACATTAACAATTTTTATATATGATATAGTTTTCTAATTGTCATGCAAACTGATACTAAGCTGTACCTGTTATCTTAACTTTTTCTATTTAAAAAACATCAAATGATTTGAACTGTGTTCTTCGTCTGGTTTTATTATATCTAAATTGATTTCTTCTATTTTGTGATTTATTTTTTTCTGAAGAAAATTGCTAGCTTGTAATTTTTCATGAGAAAATTTGTAGATGGCTTCCTTCCACCATTCTTCTATTTGGAATATAGTAGACTGCATTATCTGCCACGTGACATTTAGATCTTTCTCTTTGCAGCAAAACAATAAATTTTCAACATATAGAGAAATTTTAATGACTTTGATGAATGAATGTCTTTCATTCTCATTTTTCTTTTGAACTTCTTCAGACAAAAGTTCATTTTATTAATTTTATTTTATTTATATATTCCATGCAATTTGCACCTACATGGCAGCACATTTAGCAAATTTGTTGTATTTATATTTGTTGTGAATTTGCTTGATTTTGGTATTATTGAAGTAATAGGTCTCTTGGCCATTTTCTTTTTAATCTGTGTCATTCACGTAATAGGGAACAGGAAATAGAAGGGACCAGAGGTTTGGAATGGATTTGAGTTGAAGAATGAAATCTAATGTATTTTGTCATGGATGTAAGATTTTACAGCTGGGATGTTTAAGTCATTTATAGTGTTATTTGAAATATACCAAGGTGTATTAACATTTTTTTGTAGAATTTTTGATTATGTTTGTATTTTGTTTATGTGTGCTTGTTTTGCCAAACCCCAAATTGTCCATATGTTCCAATTGGTCATTATTGGTATAAACAATATTGTTTATCTTTGATTATTTCTTTGTTGGTATTTGCTCGTATAATTTTATTTATTTATTCTATATAATTATTTATTTGTGAAATATTAAGGAAATAGTCCTAACAGATAGATTCAACCTTGTCATAAAATGTGCTAAATAAAAAAAATTTATAATACTTTTTAAATAAATATATTAGCCATTCAATTCAATTGTTTTTTTTTTTTCAGCAATCCACGAGTTTCTTGTAAAACTGAAGAAATACCAGACATCAATCTTAATTATTGGAAAGAATCACTAACTTACGCTGAGGTAGAATTTAACTTATATATGTTAAAATATTTTATTTTTTTATAGTTATTTATCAGAATTAATTTTTTTTTTTATTCCACTTTCAATTATTCAGCTTAGAAACATTTCTAACAATACTGGAAAGATCATGAATCTTTCAAGGAAAAATCTATCTTTTTGGTGTGACGGGAAAAAGCGGCAGAAGCTTTGGGAATGAGTGTAAGCCGCAGTAGAGACTGCAGTACGAGTACCGGTGGTTATGGGCCCATTTACGTCCCACATTCTAGACCATCTGGGAGCTATTGTAAGCTGTGGAAATAGAATATCTCTGGAAATCAACCAGTAAATAATTAGGGCAATTTTGGTGCTATATTAATAAAAATAGTACTATAATAAACAAAAGGTGCTATTTTGGCCACTGCAAACACCTTGGAAGCTCTGCCATCTAGCATCATACAAAATGCCCCATATATAGGACCCTCATTGGGCCTGTTCTCACATGTGGATCGGAAAGTTGGACCCTCTCTGGCAAAGAAGAAAAATATTTACTAATCTTTGTTGAAAGGAAGATCCTTTGGTGTATCTTTGGACCTGTTAAGGTAGGTGATGATTAGAGAAGGAGGACTAACAGGGATCTATATGATCTGTATGGAGAGAAAGGTGTGTTGAGGTGCATCAAGCTTGGACGACTACGTTGGGCTGGCCTTGTGGCCAGAATCCCAGAAGAGGAAGTCCCAAGAAAGTTGCTTGATGGAAAGCTCTACAGGACAAGAGGGAAAGGCAGAACACATCTAAGATGGGAGGACGCCGTCATCCGGGACACCAGAGAATTATTACATACTCGCAACTGGCGAGCGACTGCGCAAGACAGAGCCATCTAGCGAGGGCTCATTGAGGCAGTAAAGGACCACACCAGTCTGTGGTTAGTTATTAAGTTAGTTGGTTGAAATGGAGTTAGTTCAAAAGCTGTCTGGTGTCAGTTTAGAACTAGATCATAACTAAAGTTAAACATGAAAAAATATGATTAAAGAAACTTTAAAATTTTCATAATTACCATTTTTAAAAAGAAATTAATTGTTATTAATGAAGACTATAAACACAGTTTGGCAAATAATGCACAACTTTTACAAATAGTGCTTTATTAAACAGCTGACGGATTATAAAGGCTATTCCTTTCAAATGTTTGTGTTAAGTAGCTAACACATAAATTTATATATATAAATATATATATATATATATATATATATATATATATATATATATATATATATATATATATATATATATTTGTATATATATTTTCCTTAAGGTAAAATCTGTGATGAGTTAATATTTTTAAAGTTTTATTAATAATAAACAAGATCTAAGTCAAGGAAAGAAAAACCAAGCAGCCAAAGTTTTGTTTTTAGCTGATCTTTGAATGTCTGTTTAAAAAAAAAAGAATTCTCTTTCTTTTTTGTTGAGAAATATGGAAATATTTTGTATTGTGTTACAATATGACATATAACAATCCTAACTTGAAACAAATTTTCAGTCTTCTGAAAAGTTAACTTTCCTTCAACTGGCAAACCAAGTATTTCCTTGACAGAAATTCTATCATATTTTTGGTGGTAGGAACCATATTTTTGGTCTGTTCAATCCAATATAATTAGTACATCAGTCAAAGAATAAATTAGGGATTAAGAGTATAATATTGACGATATTGTCTACCATGAATACCCTAAGAACAAGAATTGAGGATTTCTACCAGTGCTCGCTGCCGCTTAGACCATAGACCGTTGGATATAATTATAAATTTCATTAAAATTATAAAAATAAAAACTATATTTTTGATTTTGATTAACAAATTGATTATAACGGTAGTGCTAAATTTTTAAAATTTTATTATTAATAGTTTATAGTTTAAATTGCTATTTTTATTAAACTAAAAACAGTCTATCTCAATACACGTTTGATATTCTAATTTATTATTTTAATTTTATTAAGAGCTTGTATAGGTAAGGGATTTGGTATAATTCTAGAAATGTCATTTCTTTCTTATTCAATGCATTGATTTGCAATATTAAAACAAAAAAAAAGAAGATAATAATACATTTAAATAAATGATAAGGATTAATAATTTAAATTTATTTTTTCTGTAGAAAGACCAAGAATATCCAGCCGAACCACCTCCTATCACAACCAGTAACAACAAAGGTTATCTTCCGCCAATTACCCACAAACCATGGAGTGTGACCAGTGAGAAACTGCCGAATAAATACACTCTTCAAGACAGCTATGAAGCCGACCTAGAAAAGGAAGTGCCTCCAGAATATAGCGAGGGTGAAAGTGAGAAAGTCACCGAACAGTATTTCTTGAATCCTTTAAATCTAGACGATCTGAGTCCACCTTTCCCCGATTTATTCGATATTAAAGATAAATATGCTATTTCAGAAGAATCATATTACGGGATAGTTCCTAATGAAGAAAAGCTTGAAAGCGTTGAAGAAAATGAGAGCTTGAAAACTGAAAAATTATCCAACACAGATTACGGTTATCTTCCCCCCTCCGAGCAACAAGATTATCCAATAAAAGATATTTTGAATGATGGTTATACTCCCAGCTATGGAGTGAATGAGAAACTACAAACATCTCACGGAACTACACAACACCCGTCCACAAAGAAACTTGATTTAGTCGAACAGCCACCTGTTCATGATCACACTTATTATTTGAATAACAAAAAGTACACAAGCAGTGGGTATAAACAAACAACTCCTTCAACTATTACAGACTATTATTCACAAGAGTCTTACCATTATGATGCACCAAATAAAGGAAGTGATTATAATACCAACAAATATGATCACCGGGTACCTATCGATACAGGTTTAGTTCCTCCTCCTGAAGAGAAACCAATAGATACCAGTTTGGTTCCTCCCCACTATCAAAAACCTAACCATTCATCAATAATTGAGAACGTTAATGAATTAATTGAGAAATATGGAAACCAAAACAATTCTCAAACGGAAAAAACATATGATGGTTATTCATACAATAAACCTGCTGAAGAAGTCAAAACGAGCTATGGTAAAACTACCGAAGAATGTTTGACCGTAAATGAGAAAGAAATAAGTATTACTTCAACACCAGCATATATTCAAGATAGTTATTCGATAACGGAAATTACAACAAAGCCCGCAAATTTGGAAGAAGAAGAATATACTATATTAAAGGCACCAGAGAAGGAAGAATACACGATATTAAAACCACCTGAGAAAGAAGAATACACAATAATAAAACCTCCAGAGGAAGAAGAATACACAATAATAAAACCTCCAGAGGAAGAAGAATACACAATATTAAAACCTCCTCAGGAAGAAGTTGAAAGAATCGAGGCAAAAAGTATTGTCAAAACTTTAATTGAATATACTGCTGATGAAACAAATAGTTCGACAAGTGAAACCAAAGAAAATATTCAAACCAATGTAATAAAAAATGATAAATTTGAATGAGGCAAGAAATCTGCTATTTCAAGTAAAACACTTACATTAATAACACATATTATGAAACAGTCAACTCTCAATAACTCAAATTTCAAGAGAATGGGACACCACTTTGATTATAGTTTGAGTAGAAAAGTTTTTGCACATTGCCAGTTCTAGAGATAAAATATTTTTATTGAATTTACTTAAATAAAAAGAAATTGAAGTTCTATGGTGGAAATAACTATATTTTCATTCAGCATTTCGATGAATAAAAAGTGATACCTGTCATTTGTACATGCATTGTAATAATCTTCCTGTGTTAAATTGTACATAGATTATTTGTTATAATATCAAAGGACATCTGTCATTTTAGAAAGTCAATTTTTGTTTCATAGGTTCAACTCAAACTGTTTCTGATGATTTAATTTAAGAATGTAAAAGTTGAACTACAAAAATAATCATTAGAATTGGTCTAAATTGAATCTATCTTTCAAAAATTATCTTTTTCTCAAGTTTTAAAAGATTACAGATGTCCGACATTGATATGAGGTCACTTTTATTTAGGATTATCAAAAATATTTTTGTATTTTGATATGCCTCAATAATATCATGTAGCAAATTTTTCTTATTATACCATTTTACAGTTACATGTTCTTCTATTGGTTTATTTCTATGATTTAATTTTCTAGTATAATTATTTTCAAAATGTTCTTTGCTTTTGGGCTCTTTAATGATTTTATTAATTTGGTCTTATAAGGAATTCTGCAAATTTTAGAGGTGCTTACGTTTTTGTTTAGATTTGAAATGGTAAATTTCCTCTTAAGTCGTGATGGGAATTTTCTCAAAAGAGATATTTTTTGATATTTAAAAATTTGAGTTCTTGAGTTTTGACTGAAAATAAATAATGCTTTAAATAAAATTGTATTATTTTTCTATTTTTTATCCATACAAGGGACAGTTTTTAGGTTCAAATATTTTTTTGAAGTTATTTATTTTGTTTTAGTAGTCATCACTGTTAATAATTCTCTATAAGTTATAGTCCATATAACCATACTATTATACTTTTCTTTAAAGAATTTTATTATTCATAATGATTTTTTAACCTTTTGATTCAATAATTATTCTTATAAATATTTGTTCATTTGGATTTAAATGATCTACACCATAATATTTTTTAAAAAGAATATTGTAAACTGCAAAAGTTATTTATTCAGTGTCCACTCAACTAATATGTCATTTTCAATAAAAGTTAATATAATAAATTGGCAATGTTTTTTATCCATAGAATAAAGGTTTGTATGAACTGTATTTAGATTAAGAAATATAAAAAAATGTTGTATTTAGTTATTTATAGTTTGTATGACTTTAACATTAAGAAAACAGAAGTTTTAATGTGCTTTCTCTAACAAAAGTGAAAATTTGTAATTACACTTTCATTGTTTTTGTTTGATTTAAGTATAATAATTGATAAATATTTTTGTATTATGGTATTTAGTTAACTGTGATCTATCATTTTTAATATTATTATTTAGTTCACAGCTTCTTTTTTTATGAGTAATTTTTTGTCGGTAAATGTTAATTTTAATTTATATAAAACATAATTTATTGATTAGTTCAAAAATTAATTTACTGGTAAATTGTATAAAATAATTTTAACTGTATGTACTGCAAGGAAAATTATTAATGTCAGTATTTCTTCAGGTTTTTATCTTTTATGATGTGAAATGAAAACAAAATTGTAGATATTTCATTTTTTTAAAGAAGATTTTTGTAACATTTTAAAGTACCTGACGGCTGTTTATTTTATATTAACAATGCTCATCTTTATTGCTAAGTTGGATAGTTTAAGAAAAGGTGACTTTTTTTAAATATTGTGTTTTTTTATTTAGGTGTAGTATTTCCAAATTAATTAATTAATTGTAACTTAAAATGTGACTGATAGCTTGTAAATAAATACATATTTTTTTAAAACTTTCATGTTTATTTAATATTATCCCCTAAGAACTTTACTTTTAATATAAACAATACAAAACAAACCATAATATTAAAAAAATATAGGACAAATAGATAAATACCAAGGGTATCTAACATCTATTTAAATTACATCCTAGGTAAAATAATTATAAGAAACCATATAATTTGTATTTATAATATTAAAACTGTCAGTATTTTGTTAATTCATTCCCAGTAAATATATTTGTTAGTTTATATTTAGTGATTTTGATTTAATTGAAATGTTAGAAAAAAATTGATGAATTCTAGTTGTAGAATTTTCATTCCATCTTGCAGGAAAACAACTTCATATACAAAATAATAATTATAATAATATAGATATTATATATATATATATATATATATATATATATATATATATATATATTTATAGCTTAGTGATTTTTATTAAAATTATTTAAATAATGTTAGCCTGTTCAAGGGACCATTAATTTCATCTATGGTCCCTTTTATCATCAATTATATTTATTTTTTTTATTAAAAAGAAGTCTATAATCTGAGACGGACATTATTTCCCTTCATTCCTACAACTATAAAAAAGATTTTTGCCAAACCTTGGTAAGGAATTAAATTAAAGGTTTCTTATACTTATAAGAAAAAAAACCTCTCCAGCAACTGCTTATGAATACAGAAAATTATATATATTTTTTTAATCCATGTTATTGGTTAAGAATTAATTATATATTGAAAAACCATTTTTTATTTACTACTATGAATATAACTACATAAAGATTCATTGAATTATCTGAAGTTTAGGAGATTAGGGTGCTAACAAACCAAGGAAGAGAGGGTATTTAGTTTTTGCAATATTTTTTAAGGAAATGTCTTTGTTATTGCCATAAAGTATTGATATTAGAATCATTACCAAATATTTTTTTTTAATAAATGACTTGTTTATTGAAAAATATTACAATGTGCCTCAAAGGATATATTTGTATTCTAAAGTTATATTTTATTCATTTATAAAACCAGTCAGTGTTCAAATTGTTTAACAGGTTTCATTACTGTCTGCAAGCAAGGGTGTAGCCAGCTCAAAATGGAATTCATCAAAAGGGAAGCAATGTTTTAATTTATTTTTTTTCAAGTAGAGGTATTCTTTTATCGTGGTTATGTTCTTTAAAATATTGAAATAATAAAAATCAATATGCAGTCAATATGTTGTTCAGAAATTCTTTGCTATGAAATAAAGGTGTTAATCTTGTTGGTTATCAATGCCTTTGTTATTTTTATGAATATATATTTATTGGTTTTGCATCACAAAAAATAAATTATAATTAAAATAATAATAATAAAAAATAATAATAATAAATATATACAAATTAAAAAAATGAACGGATTGGATAACGATGAAGAAAGAATAATATAGTATATTATTGAAAAAAAAAATACCTGAGAGATAAAGTTTTAGATATTTTTAAAAATGCCTTTAGAGAGAAAAAATATGACCCTATTTATGATTTTTACTCATTTTCCAACTCTGTGTATATATCATAATATCTCTTTTAATTTAACTAATAATTGACTCCTGGAAGATCACTTCATATTGTAGCGATACTTCCAAACTAAACAAGATGTTGTTAAATAAAAAAACAAATTATAAGAATATTAGTGTGTTAAACCGAAATTTAAAGGAAAATCATTTCCGAGAGTAGAAAATTCAAATACCTCAGCTCCACAACAACCTCAATTAATGACCAACGGGCAGAAATAGACCAGCATATAATTAGCACAAACAGAGCTTTCTTTCCTCTCAAAGGTATTGAAATCCTGAAAAATCTCAAACTAAGGGTGTATAATGCTATGATAAAGCCAGTTCTAATATATGGGTGTGAGACATGGACACTAACCAACACCCTAGAAAAAAGTTTTGAAAGATTTTGCCTGCCAGAACTTGACCCAGATGTATATATTACAAATAGTAAATAGTGTTGGTTTTTATTTTCCAAAAAGCACTGTTTTAAGTCCATTTTGCTTAAATTTTATTCATCAACCTTGTTTGATTGTAATATAAATACCAAGAGCCGTTATTGATAGTCGAAGGTGGATGAGTATAGCTACAAGTTTACCCCTTCAAGGTCATTATAAATGATATCATTATAACAAAATTCCCTGACTTCTCCCTGATTTTTCCTTTTTTGAAAATTCCCGGACTTTTCCCATTTTTCGAGATTTTCCAGATCGTTCGCTACCCTATCAAAACATTGAGACAAATTAAACTTAACTACACTAAATACTGTTTGATTTTAAAATAAATTCAAGGATGAATTGGCAATCTAACTTTTATTCTACCTTTGTGACACTGAATTTATTTGTATTCAAACACTGTCCAATGTTCTGCTAAATTCCAAAATGGTAACACTTTCATCTACTGAACTCCAGCTCCCTGGTATATCCTCTCTCTGCGGATTCATGACTGCAGACCAGTCAAGTGCGAAATGAAGATTCAATGTTCTTGCAATTAATCTTCTCTCTCCCCTTTGCACTTCTAATTTAATTTTATTTATTTATTTAATTTTGTTATATTCTTTCCAGATTTTGTCTCTGTAGTATCACCCATAATCTCTCTCATTTCCTTTTCTATCTCTTTATTTCTTCGTTATCATATTTCATTTTTTATTTTATACTACTAACACTTATACTAACCTAAATATATAAAATTATTAACATTAAAATCAAATTGTAAAAATTATTATAAATAAGGAATATTGTATATTGTATATTCTATTGAAAAACGTTAATTCAAAAATGTCTCTTTATTCTTGTCTGTAAGAAAGAGCCATAGGCCCTAAGACAATAAAAATATCAATCAATCAATCTCTTGTAGTTCCAAACTAGTGAGCCAGTCAAACAACAACTGAACTACTTTGTTCATCCTGCAGCAGCCATTTTTATTTTTACTGAACTAGTGAAACTATTTTTCAAATTTAAACATCCCCTGACATTAGCAGAACTAGATCAGCTCGCCTTTAACCGTTGAACATTATAATTTACTAAACCATTTTTACCAACTTCCAATAAAGGTGTATATTACAATATTTACAGGTATTTCCTCTTCACTTAATTTTCTTGTGTAATAAATTTAATTATCATTCTCTCATTACACTTCTGAAATATGGACGGATGTTTTTAAATTAATAATTATAGGTGTCTAAGCCTAGTAGTTCCTATTCTGAGTCTCGTTAGTACAACTTTCTCTCTGCGTTTACTGCAACTGGAACTGCTCCACGATTTCACTTCATTCAGCTCTTTAGTTTAATGCTCGTTATGGTCTTCTATTTATTTATATTTTATTTTTAATTTTTCTATGATGGATTGGGGGAGCAAGACTGCATCCATATTGCAAGGGTTTATTTTCATTTATCTCTAGTTAGAATAGATTGATAAAGATTTATTGTTAATCGGGCAGAGGGAAATGAATTTTTAAAATTATTTGTCTGTATTTATAATTAATAATAAAATTCCAATTAGAACTTAAATATCAATGTAATCTCTTGCTGAATATTCAAAATTGACAAAATTCAGTATTAAAAATATTTTAGTAGTTATTTAAATTATATAAAAACTTCTTTCTCTATAATAAATAAACCAGATCCTTAGAAAATAAGCATCTGTTGAGTATTTCACGGCGCAATAAGTCGACCATACCCGCATGACTTTTGTTTGTTGCAGCATGACCTAAATTCTGCGCCTTAAAATAAACATTAAATCCTGCTTGTGATAATTTATAACAAATAATTTCTCATCATCTAGGTAATTGGTTTAATTATTGTTTGAATTAAAATAATGATGAATATTGAAAATGTAAACAACCGAAAAACGTAAATAATTAAAAAAAACTGTTTTAAAATATGTCGTTTTAAACTTTTTTTCCTCAATGGAAGATACATCATATATTATCATATATCAAGTTATTAATATATATGATATATAACATATCATAAACTTTTATTAGAGTTTATATATCATATATACATATATATCTTTATATATACATGTATCATATATTAAGATATCTTGTCTAATTTTTTTAAAATTTATTCATGAGATTTACAACTGTACAAATAAAAGATACATCCAGTAAATGTGCATAAGGTAATAATACAATCGTATGAAAACGCTTGTTGAGTAACTACCCATTGGTAGCACTCTAATAATATATTTACATAAGTAGATCACGAGGCCATCTTCTTTTCAGACACCACGGAGGGTTATCAGGTATCGAAGAGGAAGCAAGATTTGAAACGAGAGGATTCGGATGATTTTGAAGTTTTTTTATGGAGGAACAGATATATGGATTGGGCTAAATCGGAAACATATGGTAGGTTAAGATCGTTATGAATTATCTAATACAAATTTATTTTATTTTTATTCGCAATAATCATTTACGGTTCATTACCATCGTAATTAATAATTAAATGTATTAAATGGCATTAATTAGTTATAATTTCAATTAATGAGTCTTATTTTTTATCTTTTAATATTAATCTGCACCTGTTGACAATCAGCAGATGGTCTGATTACAGTAATAAAACTGACGTGTCCGGCATGGGGAAGGATAGCACCTAAATTCTTTACTGTTGTCTTTAGGCACTTAGCCAACCTTCATGGTCAATATAATTTTGGGAAGTTGACGAAGACTATTTAAATGTATGTGTATATATATATATATATATATATATATATATATATATATATATATATATATATATATATATATATATATATATATATATTGATTTATACATATATTTCGTGTTTTTATATGATAAAATTACAAAATCGACTCTTTGTCATTTTTTTTATCAACAAATATATTTTTATTTAGTAAAATACTAAAATTTGACAATACTGAGATTGTCATTGAGTTTTAGATCTCGGATTGCATCGATTTGTCTAAAATTGTGCTCTGTTTTAATGAAAAACC